AAAGGATGATGCATTGCCACAGGAAAATGATTCACATAAACATGGGTATAAATAGACTTCACTGTTAGTCCACTCATTCTGAACTGGGCATTCCACTGACAATCCAGAACATTAAGTCTTAATGAAGACTACATTAAATTAATGTTCACAATTCACGGCTTCTTTTGATGCAGTAATTTTGTAGGTTTAAATACCTAAATATTTGAACTGAAATTAATCACTGATGAATTGTACAATTAAATATTTAAGTAACAAATTTGGGTCTGTGTTCTATGGTTAAAAATACAATATTTTTTATATTTAATTTTTGTTTTGGATTTACATTCATATCTGTATTTATGTATATTTGTTTTATTATTATATTATATTTTGGTACATTTTCTTAAACTTCAGCCCATACTGGCCTTGATCTCACTTTGTAATTCTGGATGCCTTCACATTTGAGAATTCCCCCTGCTTCTGCTTTCCATTCAGCTACATTTACAGGTATGAACCAGAGACTCCAGCTTGATGTTATGAACTTTGCTTACTGTCTTTATTAAAGCAATTAGAAGACAGAGAGATACAAACAAGAAGAATCAAGAAAATACACAATGAATTAATGTCATGCATAAAATGTACACTTTGTTATTCAGGTACTGTGCTTAAGAAAATGGAAAACAACAACAAATTTTCTATTCCTTTGTCAGTGTCTATTGCTTTAACTGGCTAAAATACCATGCTCTTATATTTTGGCCGAATTCTATGTCACAAAGCAAAGAAATTATCCATATTTCCACTATTTCAGTGTTTATAACTTATACTTTGAGCTGCTGCACATATTTTCATATCATTTATATAGCCTGAAAGAATTATACATCAGGGAATAATTGTTAACTGTCAGATCACACTGTATTTCTAATCATATTCTAGCAGTGACATGTGTTTTACATTGTTAAGACATCCTGTCTGAAAAACAAAACTCTAAAATGGAATGGAAAAAGCCCATTCTTTTGGATGTGTGAATTATTCATGATCACAGCACCTTGTCTGCACTTAGAATGTAATCAAAGTATAAATGATGCATGCTCGTGTTGCTTCTAAACGCCACATCGGGTGTTTCTTAAGTTATGCTTAAGACTCAGTATCACACAAAATGCAAAGAACATTCACAGTGTGTCACATAGTTTTTCTATCTCATTAATTAGTTTTAAATTTATCTGTCAAAATATTTAATAGGAACTCTTCCCTATATCTCAAATACCATTTACCATGCTATTTAGTTTAATGGACTGTTATGTATTCTTCCTATTTATAACTTGTAAAAATAAGTTAAAAATGCTCAAAAATATAACTTAATTTGCTTTAGAGAAATCACTAAAATCAAGCTATGTATCCTCAAGTTTCTATATTCAGAAAATATTAATTTTGGTATATTCTTTTTAATTTGGGAGTTCTGAAGAGGTGTGTTGGAGTATCTTTTTAAATCAATGGTCCCCCAAAAGAAAAGGTTTTTCTACTTTACTATACCCCTGGAGTGAAAGAGAGAGCCAGTGCTTTCATTTCATTTATTAAGGACTAATTTTTGTGAATTAATTCTGCAAGTTGTAAGTTGGATAATTCTGCAAGTTGTAAGTTGGATATGTTATGTACATAGGCCTATTACACAGTAAAACTAAAAGTAAATTTTGTTACTACAAGAAAAAAATCCACTTTTTCATTCTCAAATTAATTTGATGAATAAAGAGAGATTTGAAGCAAGAAATGAGAAAATAGAATATTCATGTCCTTCAACAGAATTTGGATTATCTTAATGTGCACATATGTATGTGTGTCCAAATGTATAGATGCACATATAAAGAGCTAGGTATGCTCTTAACTCAGCATAATGTAAATATAGAAAAAAGTGGCAAAATTGGTCTCATCAAAAAGTATTCAGTAAACAATTGCATTTTTATTATTTCAATAATGTTTATTATATACACATGTTGATAGGCACTGGATATGTCATGAAAGACATACTATTCTAATCTTATATTGAAGATTTAAGCCTATATCTTTTTTAAAAGTGGTAGTCTTATTATATAGAAATCTTGATATATATACCCAGACCAATCACCAATATACGATGGAAAGAGAGTAACAGATACATCTGATGTGTACCTTTGAAACTTCCTACTGTCATACTAGAGGAAGTACAAATAGCCACAAATAAAATTAGGGGAAAAATCATATCTCTAAACAGAAATTTTCAGTATTTCTCCCAGGAAAAGACCTTATTGAACACCTAAAGATACACAATTATTCAAAACAGAAAAGTTGAATAGCATTAACCAACATTTCCAGTTATCATACATTGAACAATACATCAATTTCCTTTTTCTTTTTTTTCGACACAGGGTTTCTCTTGTAGCTTTGCACCTTTCCTGGAACTCCCTCTGTAGCCCAGGCTGGCCTCGAACTCACAGAGATCCACCTGCCTCTGACTCCTGAGTGCTGGGATTAAAGGCGTGTGCCACCATCATCTGGCTCATTTTCTTAAGGAATATGTAATATTTTCACATGCACACACATTTTTTACCAAATTTTCTGTACACATTTAAGGATTTATGTTATGTAGAAATAGATCCCTGATCATGTTGGAGACAAATAAGAAAAATATAACTAAAATTTTTCAAAACAAAAATATTTATTTCTTCCCAAATTTTATTTATTCTCTCTCTCTCTCTCTCTCTCTCTCTCTCTCTCTCTCTCTCTCTCTCTCTCTCTCTCTCTCTCTCTGGGGTGGGGGTGGGGGTGGGGGTTAGGTGGGGAGTGTTCTGTGTTGTTGCATAGTTTTCATGGCATGTAAATGTCATAAGGCAACTAACAAAAGTAATTTTTCTCCTACTATTTGGGTGATGGGGAATGAACTCAGGTCTTCTTGCATGGTAGTACATATCTTTACCTGCTGAGCCATCTCAAGCACCATAAATTAACACATTTTAAACCTAATTATTGTAATATAAAAAAGTGCACTATATGGGAACTTGTTATGGAATTAACTATTTATATCCATTCATTTCATATGGATATAGTTTGCCATGTTAGATCTCACTCATCTGTTATTTCCAGTATCCTAATTTTAATCTAACCTAGAATGTTTCACCAATTACTGAAAAGACATTTCTCTTATTTTTGTTCTCTCCTTAATAGTAGCTACTAGCAATCTTTCTAAGTAATTGTATCTGTGTTGTGTCCTTATTTCTCCAAAGAAGTTAATTTAACCTTCTCATCATGGGGAGATTTAGAGCTAATATCTCAAAATCACTGTTCAACTGTGATGCGATATTTTTCTCACATAACTTCACTGAAGTTAGCATCCAGTCGCCATGTGTCTTCTTTTCCTGAGTTCTTCACTGATGCCTGCCCTTCTGCTAACATACCATGTATGTTTCTAATTCTGTTTACATGTTTCCTCCCCATGAGAACCTGACAACTTACATCTAAGCATTTCTGATCTTCCAAATTTTTCATTCTACTGCTACATAGTACAAAAAAAAAAAAATAGATTGACACTTTCTCTGTTGTCTCTTTTCCACTATCACAAACTGATTGGATTCTCTCATACACATCCCTAGTTACCTTTGCTTTTGATTTGATAAAATTATGATTACCATCCCATTAAATTATAACTATGTTAAGATACAAAAATAAATGGGCATGTGTAAGAATAAACTCTGCTAATATTTATGCTGTATTATTTTGATATATTATAATAACTTGATACTATTTATGCTGTATATGACAAAATTATTCCTTCAGGGTAAATCTATAAAAAGAAAATATTTTGGACTGAACAGTTTGCTATCATTTAGTTTTGAATTGATTTTATTATTTATGGCAGATAATTATTTTCTTAATTGTTTTTGTCTATACTACTATTTGTAGACCATAAATATTTATTTTGAAGTAATATGGTAAGGTTAATATTCATATTTGTTTAATAAAATAAGTACATTCCTGACATATAGTCTAAATTAATTAAATTAATCTGTACCAGAAAATATTAAATGTATTTTAGAGTACAGAATGTCTGATCCCTAGATTCCAATAAATCACTAAATTTTGTGAAGTGGCTCATATAACACACTTAGCCTCTTGTTTTAAAATCTTGACAAGCTAATATACTGTAGGTGAATATTAGAAGTCAAAATAGGTTAGAAACCACACACTTCTAGAGATTCAAAACTATATCTAAATGGTGGGAGTGAATAATAATTTCATTATAGATCAAATATACTTCAAATTTTGAACTCTTCCCTAGTCTGTGTGTAATAAAATAGATGTAAATTTTAGTCTTAAATCCCAAGGTGTTCCAACTGTCTTTTATAAGGAGAACATTTTCAATAAAAATACTTATTTCTAATAAAACACATGAACTCATCCATTAGTTTCTCAAGAGTGTTTTCAGGAATATTGTTCTATTAATTCTGGAATTATGAGCCTGAAAGTATTCCTATAAAATAAAAAGCAATAGAATAATAGAATGCAGGGTTTTGCGTAACTGAAATTATAGAATATTAAAGTGAGTAGTTAATTTATTTTTTTACCTTATGGACTTTCTAAATTTAAAATTTTTCATGCAACGATTCTAGAAATATTAGAAGATAAAGCCAGATAATTAACACACAAAATGTAAAACATGAGGATGTGTCTCAGATACTGCTAACATTTAGTGACACCTTAGTTTTTTATTATTAACCAGTGAGTAATTCTATTTTTGAGACAGATGTGAACACACATACACAGCCACAGAAACATTACATATTTTTTGTGTATGCTATATTTTTATTCTTTTTATCCTGAGACCAAAAATTATAAATTAAAAAACATTCTAGTTTTATTTTTTGGAAGGGAGAGATATGATTATTACTTTGATTGTGACCATGGATATGTATATCTAGACTCATCTAGTTATCCACATTAAAATTGACTGTTTTTTTTTTTTATTAATCATACTTCAATAGCACCATTTAAAATAGAGGACACTCCAACACAGAAGGACAACCCCCTGAAGACACAGGAAGAGCTGACCATCCAGCATTTAGAAAGAGATCCCTCAGAAGAAAGCCACCCTCAAATCCGCTGTCCTCAATTTTCCAGATGGTAAGACTGGTGTAGAATAAATTTCTGCCACAGGCATCCAATCTGTGTTCCTTTGTTACAGAAGGACTAAAAAAATTAACAAAAATATCTAAATGTTGATGTTTACATTCTCTTTTTTTTTTTTTTACTTGAAAATAGATTTTTTTGGGCTGGAGAAATGGCTCAGAGGTTAAGAACACTGGCTATTCTTCCAGAGGTCCTGAGTTCAATTCCCAGCACCCATATGGTGGCTCACAACCATCTGTAATGAGACCTGGCTCCCTCTTCTGGCCTGCAGGGATACATGCAAATAGAACACTGTATACATAATAAGTAAATAAATCTTTAAAAAAAAAAAAAAGAAAATAGATTTTTTTTCTCTTAGAAAATAACCTGGCTACCTTCTGTTTCCCCACCCTTTACTCCTCCCATTTTTGTTTCCATCTCCCATCCCATCCTGGTCCACCCATTTTCTTTCTCTCATTAGAAAACAAACAGGCTCATATAAAATAATAATAAAATACAGCACTGTGGGGAATCCCAGTAAGCTGTACTGCCAGTATAGAAACAGGTACTAGAGGCAAGAAGAAAATTGGTATAGCACAACTTAGTTAGCCAATGCTGGTTCAAAGTTCTCAATTCTGACACCAGGCTAGTTTATTTTAGATAGGTTTAAGTGAAGTACAGGTTTGGGGAAAAAAAAAATTTCCTGGTAACAATGATCTCAATCTCATGTGCACAATAAAGCTTAAGGCATAACTCCATCATAACTCTTTCTAAAGAACATGTGACATCTACCATGAAGATGGGTTCCATAGTTTAAGAACCTAGGATCTGATGTTGTCTCTGGCCATGATAGCATAGAGGTCACCAGGCTGTAATATTTAAGTGACATCTCCCCTAAGAATGGGTTCTATTGACTGAAAAACAAAGCTAACGTGAAAGGTCTATGGAGTGAAAGTCTAGGATAAGCATTCTGGGAAATTTGGTTGAGACATGGTCCTACATATAGCGAAGGTTCATGTTATTAACCTGCATCCACCCCCAGTCTTCTCGCTGGATAAAAGGAATACACATCCCTTCCTTTGAAAAAATAACCTTGCATGCTTAACATTCCTGGTTTTCCTAGTGCCTGTTTGTGAGCACAAGGGCATTGTGCCCTCTATAATAATACAATAAATAAAACAAAACAGAAACTAGTACATCAGAATATGGCAAAACAAACAAAAGAAAGAGCCCAAGAAAATACACAAAAATCACATATAGAAGCTCAGACCCATTCATTCACACTCTAAGGAATCTCATATGAACAGCACTGTAAACCATAATATATATGCAAAGAACCTGTAGGGTTAAAAACAAAACAGAAAAAAATTAATTAATTTTTAAAAGTGCCAACATGGCATTATGAGACGTCAAACATCCCACTGAGTACATTTTCTGTTGGCCATCTACTGCTGAGAACACAGACTTCCCTTGGAGTACTTATTTCCCCAATGAGACTCACTTGGAGAAAATTGAATTTTCATTTGCAAACTGTTATCAGTTGTAGATAGTTTCTGGGTAAGGGATGAGGACTTGTGTCCACTTCTCCTTTCAACACTGTATTTGTTGCAGACATTTTCAAGCCCTGTGCATGTTGCCTCAGTCTCTATGAGTTCATATAAGCTTTGTTAGGTTGATTTAGAGGGCCTTGTTTCCTTGGTGTCCTCCATTCCCTCTGATTCTTTTAGTCTTTCTGTCTCCCTGTCTACAGAATTCTCTGAGCATTTAAGGGGAGCAATTTGATGGAGACATCCCATTTGGGGATGAGCATCCCTAGGTCTTACTCTGCATAATGTCTGACAGTGTTACTCTGTATTTGTTCCCATCTGATGTAGTAAAAAAAACTTCTACTACATTTAACTACAGTTTTTTAGTTATATAAAAGCAACTTTTCCTATTTCCTAATTTGTATTCCCTTCTCAATTAATTTTGATATCACTTGGAAATGGAAAGTGGTCTTCTATATAAACAATGACATGTTACAAATGAAAGTAACAAGTGTGATGCTTTTGAAAAAAATACAGTTGTGCTGATTTTTCAAAACTTTTATAATTCAAAAATAGAGATTTTAGTTTCGTATCACTTCACTTGATTTGATTTAAGATTATATATTATGAATAGTTTTAATTCCTCATAAAATTTTGAGTAGCATCTCCAGAAATTTCAATTCAAGTAAATGCACAACTGTTGTTTCTCACCTTCTTGTATTTTATAAGACCATAATACATTGCCATGGAAAGTAAGCCAAGAGGAACAGAAAGGTGTGAAGACAATAAATCCAGTTGAGATAGATGAAGTCTGTTTCTGCTGGACAATAAGAAACAACTATTATTGTCATGCAAGACAAAGTAAAAACACATCTCTAAATGGAGGATAAAGGTACAACAATGTTAAGCAGATTAAAATTTTCTACATCAATAAATTTGAAGGTTTATATAATGACTTTAATCTTAATGAAGTTTAAGCATTTGTTTTGAAATGTATTCATGCAGTATTAATAAAAAAATCATTAAAAAGCAATGAGAAATTTAAAGAAAATTACAAATAATGAAGATATTTAGCAATGAAATTTCAAAATTTTGAAGGGAACTGAAATCAAATAATTAGAAAATACATTAACAGATGGAAGACTGATAACACAGTAAATGTAGAAATCAATGTTTTTGATAACTACATATATTGAAGATAAATAGTTAAATCATGAAGTAGTCATGTCTAAAGCATCAAAACTAGCATCCGTGTATGAGAGGGACATGAGACATTTGTTACTGTGTGTCTGGTTTGTGTCACAGGATCATTTTTCCCATTTCATCTTTTGCCTATGAATTTCATAAAATTATTTGTCTTGAGTGTTGAATAACATTTCCTTTTATAAATGTACACATTCTCATTATCTGTCAATTAATTTATGGATGTCCATGTCATTTCTAATTCCTGGCTCTTGTGAATAGAGCAGCTATGAGCATGGATGGCAGATAAGTCAGAGATCATGATAGGGAGCTTTCGAGAGATGACGGAAGACTGATGCAATGAGGAAAATGAGGAAAGGAGAATAATGGAAGAGCAAGGATTAAATGTGGTGGAAGCTAGGGTGACAAGGTAGAGAAAGAATGTGAGGAAGAATAACTTGACACTAAAGGCCTTTTGAAAAAGTTATATGGAAGTCTATTACTGTATAAGTTCATATATATATAGACTTAATCCATAGTTGTTATAAAATGCCCCTCCTATAACATACAGGTTACAAAATTAAAAGCCGGCATCAAACATTGGTTACTAACTTTAGAGTTGTTGGCAAATGAAGTCCCATAGTGTACCAAATGTGACAAGCTATTGTTTTCTTTTTCAGATATCTTCAAGGACTTGACTGTTAGACCCTCTTGCCCAAGACACATATTCAAAGAATGTGGATAAATCAAGCTAAGGCTGTCTCAGCAGTTTGTGTTGGAAGGTGCCATGTAATCTACCAAAGGTATATATGGAGGAACCATCCATTCTTCCCAGGTGTGAAGCCTGCAAACAACAATAATGACTGGTTTAGACATATATACACATTGATGCAGTAGTGATAAGAATGCTAATAGGAGTAATCAAACACTTTCTGATTTGATTTAAGGCCTGTTTCAGAAGACAAAAGGTACAACAGTCAGTGTTAAGAGGCCAAAACCTGTGACAGGGAAGGTCCTAGGCCCTATGGGAAAAGCCTACTAATATGGACAGTATTAAACTGGCACCTAGTGCCTTATATGCATAGATTAATTAATCTTCCAAACCTCATCAAAGAAATTTCTTGTCATGGAAGTGATTAATGTAGATAGCTAAAACTGGTCAAAATGAAGTGAATAAGAGACTCAGTGCCTAATGGAACATGTATCCTGCAGCTCTCCTCCTTTGGCTTAGGGATTATCTCAGAAAAGGCAGAAAGATTGCCAGACCCAGAAGTGGTGGATGTCTAAAAGAAAAGCATGTTTTCCAACACAAGAGGGCACAACAGGTAAGACGTGATACACAAAAAATGCACAAGCTCTTGACAGACAATTCTGAGCATGGAGAAGAGAGGTGGGCATGATATTTCACTCCTGGCTATGGAGTTACTGGCATTTGGTAACTTCTGGGAAAGGAAGATTCAGTTTTATTTAAGGGTATGATCTCAACTAGGTGGGACACGGTCATATGTCCAAGTGTGCACTGGCAGTACCACTTGGATTTGATACATTAAAAAAGGGGACTAATTTTAATAAGTTTAAAAATGGTGTGCATCTATGAACAGTTAGGAGGCCTGAATATGGTCAACACATATTTATGAAATTTCTTAAAACATTATTTAGAAAAAAATGCATATTAAACAAAACAAAACCCAAGATCTGAAAAGAGTATCTTGAAATATTATGAAGTTTCACCTTTAATTATGAAAATAAATCAAGAAAAGCTAAACTATAGATATTAAAGCAAAACTTAAAATTAAATATATAGTAGAGCATACTATTATTAATAATTACTAATATATTTCCAGAAATATAAAAAGAATAAAACAATAAATTGAGACTTTTACAGATTGCTGTCCAAAAACTCTTGATAGAATTATGATAATTGATAAATATTTGTAAGAAAAGTATTTTGCCTTGAAAATAAACAGGAAATGTTGTGCTTTATGCCTTTGGTCAATGAAAATATCACAATATATATTTAATATGGAGAAAAATTAATATATATGTGTGCATATGTATAAAGTATATATATTTAACATGATAAGAATAATAATGTAACATACAAATTTAAAACGTATTTGGTGTGTCAACTCTGAAGAAAGGGAAATTCCTTGACAGCATGTGCACATGTGAAGAACTAAAGGCTGTTATGAGGGGGCAATCTAAGGAAAGACTGCATTCAACATGGACTCTATTACACACACCGTAAGACCCAAGCTAGTGATGCTGCAGAAACTCTGAATCTATATCCTAATTCACTGCATCCCAAGACTGTCCAAGCGGTTTTTGTAGCCATAAGTTTTTTCAAGTCCCGTCCAGCCCTGCAGTCCCTCAGTCACTTATAAAATAATCATTCAAAGGCTTAATATTAATTACCAATTGTGTAGCCTATGGCAGGCTTCTTACTAGCTAGCACTCATAAATTAACCCATGTCTATAAATCTGTAATTTGCCATGTGGCTGTGGCATTACTGGTCTGCTGGCATCTTGCTGTTCTTCAGGTGGTGACTGGCATCTCTCTCTCTCTCTCTCTCTCTCTCTCTCTCTCTCTCTCTCTCTCTCTCTCTCTCTCTCTCTCTTCTCCTTTTTTTTCTCTCCATATATCTACTTGGCCTGACTCTAAGCTGCCATGCCATAGGCCAATGCTGCTTTATTTATCAACCGATCATAGCCACACATATTCACAGCATACAGAAAGACATCCCACAGCAGGTTTCTTTAAACATATAAACAGAACTAGTTAGGTCTAATTTTTCCAGACTTCCTAATATTAGATTTGTGATTCTGCTAACTTTCACTGAATAAAGAATTCCACAATATTCTAAAAATGAGAAAAAAGGGGGAACACAAGTTTTTGTCTCTTGCTTATGTTGCAGAGCACAGGCAGGATGGAATTTGAATTTCGGATGCACCTAGGATTCATGGCTTTCAAGCTTAGCTTGTGGGGCAGGACCTCATGCAGTTGTTTTCCAGGCTTTGTATGTATCTATGCTGGTGTAGTCCCAGAGACAAAACGGAGGGTGGCATATTCTTTATTTCTAGCTCAGAGCTAATCAGTTGTGGAAACACAAGAAGATAGTGTATAGTGAGGGATTTTCAGCTTTCTAACTTTACAAAATCTTGATATAAATCTATAGAGAAAGAAGTTGAATATCTGTAATTCCCCTTGTACAAATCCAAATATAAACAAAATACCACAAAATTTAAATGTAGAACTGATCATCCTAAATGATCTCATCACAGAACTCTCTCAATTCGTCTCAGTGGCTGAAGACAAAACATTGGGTATGAAATGAAAATAACTTTGTGTGATACTTTTTGATTACATAAAGAATTGAGTTTATGGACATACGTGTGTGTGATTTTACAGGAAAAGAGAGAAGAATTTCCTCACAGCATACAAAATTTTAACAATATTTCAGAGTTCACTCCTGAATTGAATGTAAACTATCCCTGAATATAAACTATTCAAATACCCATATATTTCAAACTTTTTTTTTTTTTTTTTTTTTGGTTTTTTGAGACAGGGTTTCTCTGTGTAGCTTTGCGCCTTTCCTGGGACTCACTTGGTAGTCCAGGCTGGCCTCGAACTCACAGAGATCCGCCTGGCTCTGCCTCCCGAGTGCTGGGATTAAAGGCGTGCGCCACCACCGCCCGGCCCTATTTCAAACTTTTTGCCAGGACCCCTCTTAATATATCAATTTTCTTTCATATGTTTAATACTATTATATGTCTATGCTCTTTCCATAAAAATACTTGTATGACGAATATGGAACATGTTTCTCCAAATATTTCTATGTATTATAATTGAATTAACTTCAGAGTTGTATGTGTGTGTGTGCTTTCTTTTGTCATGAGTGCCATGTACCACAGCCTAAAATTAAATGCTGTACATAGCTGCAAATGTCATTGTATTATGATTCGTGTCTTTTACAACACCCAGTTTTTGGAACAATCAGTATCAAACATAGACTTCATGTATGCTCGTCCAACACTCTGCCTGCTGAGCTGTATCTTCAGTCCAACATGTACACTTTTAGATTACTTTTTATTGAAGTAAACTAAAATACATACACATGCAACTTTCCTGAATATTGAGAGCCTGTATTCAAATTTGAAATACAAAAGTACCAAAGATTCTCATTCTTTTATACAATAACATAATTTATTAGATTCTTTGAAATATTGAAAATAAAATTATATTTCTTATAGTCTCTCCCTGTCCTCAATTAATTTGGTTTATTTCTTGAATATGATTACAGTTGCCTGGGAATTTATAATACATTCAATCTCTTCAGTTTAAAAATTAATACTAGAAAAATCAGTATTACAGAACATTTCCTTATATGTCTAATCCTATAACAAATGTGTATCTGTCATCATTCTCTGTAGATGTACTCACAGGTGCAAACAGAGACATGTACTCCACACATAAAAACCTTCCCAATGTTTCATCCTAACACAGATCTTTCTTATCATTCTTACTGAACTGTGAAAGATTGTTTGGTGGTTTGAATAAGAATTTCCCACATAAGCTCATAGATTTGAATGCATGGTCAACCGGGAGTGAAAGTATTAGGAGGTATGGCCTTGTTGGAGGAAGCATCCCACTTTGGGTAGGCTCTGAGGCTCAAAACAGGTCCTGTGGTATTCTCTCTCTATGTCTCTGTCTCTCTGGCTCTGGCTCTCGCTCTTGCTCTTCCTGCTGCCTTCTTATTCAGATGTAGAACTTCCAGCTTCTTTCTATCACAATGTCTGCATTCATGGCACCATGCTCCTACCATGCTGATAATGGACTAAACACCTGAAACTGTAAGCAAACCCCAATTAAATGCTTTCCTTTTAAGAGCTGCTGTAGTCAAGGTGTCTCTTTATAGTAATAGAACACTGATTAAGACAAATTGGTAGGTCTACTTGTTAATCATTATTTTGTTTTATCATCAAATCCCTCTGAGAGAGATTCAATTTCTCTAACCAAGGGAATTAGGAGATCTTGACAGTTTTAATGAATGTCTCAGTCACATGGATCATACATGCCAGTATAGACTACAAGTGATCTGACTACTTAGTACATTTTCTTGCAGGAAAAACTTCATCAGGAGAGGAGTTAGAACTGACTACCAATTCAAAATGTTAAAGAAAGTGGGCACTATGCCCAGAAACTGAACAGTATCTGTGTATTCATCGATCGACATGAAATTTACATGAGGCCATTCTTATTTGAGAAAAAGAAAAGCAATTTCCAATTATGCATTTTCCACTAACTTCTAGAAAACTTTTTTGTTTGTTTCTGTTTTGAAAATGTACAGTAGTAAATGGAAAGAAGCAATTTTTACATCCAAAAGAGATGCAAAATCCAGCCCAGTATCTGTGGCATCTACATGAATCCTTATTAAAATTTATACTTACCATAGAAACTATGTACATGACAACTAACAAATAAACTGAATTCAAATGTGAACTGTGTCTTTCAAGTAAGATTGAATGCGGTTTTGTAAAGTTTCTCCCTCCCTGACCCTGTATCAAAGATCTGCCCAAATCATTTGTGAAGTATCCCAGAAGTGTAAATGGAGGCAGATTCTTAGTGCCTCCCTCAGAACAGAGACCAACATCTATAATTAAATTATGGATTATGATAACTTTGTTACCCATCAACTTGGCATTAAGCAGCATGATTCACAGCAGGGGGTCTCTGTCAGCTTGCACTCCTGGGATGAGTATTCAGATGAGACCATTAGAGCTGAAAATGAAATCCGGCTTCCAGATCTCTGCCAAGGAGATAATGTCCTTCTGCTTTGTTTAAATGAGACAAGAAGACCCAGAACAGGAAATTATGATCTCAAGGGGCATATGTTTTTGAAAATCTTTCCTTACTTTCTTGAAGAGTACTAAGAAATAAAGAAATAGTTTAATATCTAAATGTGAAATGTCTTATAATACTAGACATAGCTAAGGTAAAGGTTTTCCCTGAAGAAGAGGGCAATACATGATGAGGAAGAGAATAGGTACTCTCAAGTCTTGCCACTAATACATTTTTAAAATTCCTAAAAAAATATAAACACACACACACACAAAAAAAAAACTCTCTGGAAGTCAACTGCTAGTTTACTTTATCTTGTTAAACACATCCCTTTATTAGGTTATATCATAGGTTAGATCTTAAAAGCCCTTCACCCCCAAACCCCATGGATAAAAGCCATGTCATCTTCATTGTTACTGATGGGAATTAGTAGAGCCTTGAAGAGTTAAGGTATTGTAGGAGGCTTTCAACTCGTTGGAGGGATGCCCTTGGCCCTTGAAAGTATAGTGGAACCCCAGCAATTTCATCTCCCTTTTTGCTTCCTGGCCAGAGCTGGGAGGTATCCCTTTGTAACACACTCTCAGCAGTATATACCACATTGCTCAGGCTCAAGTGCATTGAGCCCAACTAATGATAAGCTGAACTCTACCAAACT